TGGATCCCTTCAACGATCTGCCTCCTCAGCCTGCGATGAGGATCTACACACCCCCCCCCCCCCCCCCCCCCCCTCTGATCCATCACCATGTTAATGCTGTTAGTCCAGATTCATTGATTGATGGATCGGTCTGCAGGAACTCATAAGGTGGAGTGTATAGATCCTCATCGCAGGCTGAGGAGGCAGATCGTTGAAGGGATCCAGTATCCCTTCGCTCTCGTCTCCTTTGGAAGGAACCTTTACTACACCGACTGGAGGAGGTAACACTCTCGTTTACGAGCAGATTATGCTCCAGGAACAAAGTGGTCATCTATAAACCCTCAGCTGGCATTTGTCTTTTTCAACACACTGGAACACATCATCGTCATTCGCAGGATTTAGTCAAATAATAGCGGTCAGGCTGACAGTCTGAGTGGATTTTAAATAAACATTACTGTTGTAAATGCTGCTATTTTGAGCTCCGTTGTTTGACTGGAACTGTCACATAAAAGTGTGTTTAACAGCCGTGTTAATCTGACGATCAAACATCTCTGTGTGTGGTCTCTGGTGAATGTTTTGGTGGTTATTTTTCAGGGAGGCGGTGGTCGCTGTGGACCGTCAGTCAGAGAAGGAGACGGAAGAGTTTCTGCCACAGAAACGCTCTCGGCTGTACGGCATCACCACGACACCGACACAGTGTCCACAAGGTACTGCTACGTTTCACTTACAAGCTACAGATTAGTCAGTCCTGTAATCAAGGAAATCAAGAACGACATAAGCAATCATAGGACATGTGGCAAGAGCCTGGTAGTGCTAGTTTTTCTGTGCTCAGACTAGCATCTGTTGATAATTACTCAGTGAGCGCTTGTTGTAGTTTTGGTCTCCGTGGAGGAACTTTTTGTCCCGTTAGCGACCGAGCTAGCGCAGAAATCTCGCTACAATGACAGTGACTCAGCCCTGTGAGTGATCACTACGTCGCTAAGTTTCTAGCACCACCTGTTTTGCAAGGATGAACTCCACTGTGACACCTTCTGGTGTGACCAGGCCTTTATTCTGTGAGCTCAGGGGTCAAAATAAAGGGATCTACGTGGAGTTCGGCTCCCCTGAAAGAGACACGAGCTCCCCTGAAGGTCCTCATTTGAGAAAGAGGAGCTCTGAAATGTCCTCATTTGTGGTGCCACTGTTTTTTAACTGTATAAATATATATTTTCCTGTATATTTGGGTTCCTGAAGCTATGCTAATAGTGTGTTTATTTGCGCCTAACAATTTCCTGCTGTGGCCATCCATGTGTGGGAGGCGCATGTTGCACACACAGACTGTATATAAGAAGTGGACGTAGTCATCGTGACGCCACCCGTTGGTTTGTGGACGGCCGTTTTGAAGCCTTGAGTTCGGCGATTTGGCCGCCGCCATCTTGGAATACGGCCTTTACTTGCATACCCTGCTTTATGGTCTATTTGACTCGAAATGGATCATCATTTACTAAATGAACATCATGCTGTATTTAAGAAGACTTGAAACTAGAGATTGAGACCATAAACTCATGTTTACAATGTTTACTGAGGTAATAAATCAAGAGAGAAGTAGAGTCATTTTCTCATAGACTTCTATACAACCAGAGGAGTCGCCCCCTGCTGGTCAGTAGAGAGAATGCAAGTTTTAAGACACTTCGGCATCGGCTTCACTCGGCGGGACCGGAGGTGGCCTGGTTGCACACTGTACGTCGTCTTTCGAGTGATGATGAATCCTATATTTGTAGGGTGTTAAAAGTTTCATGTGTAGCTGCATCGCGACGTCGCCTCTGAATGTTTTACTGTGCAGCGAGCGTTGTGTTTAGAGAAGCTGGTGTAAAAGTTATCTTGCCGTATTTTCCATGAGACCAACATTTGAGGCTGTGTGTTCGTAATCGTCATGTGACGCAGCCTTGTTCTGCTCTGTTTAACACAGTAACACAAACCGCTGTGCGTTGGTGTTTTTACTGCTTCTCCTTGGAGAGTGATTTAAAGAGGGATTGCAACAGTGAATGTATTGTTTCTTTGTGTTCCCAGGCTAAATAATCTCTGTATGAATTGAAATGTACCGATGGCATGTTTTTGCACGTAGGCGGGTGCATTCGTGCACCGGCATGCGTACAGCACCGTCCCACCCGTGAAAGCCAGAGAGCAATGCGAACATCGAGTGAGCTTTAACGGCGTCGGTAGTTGCTCGCCAAATTTTAAACAGAGCCGGGCTAGCTGCCCAATAAAAGGAGTCATCTGTATCTATCATGGGAGAATCATGAATGGAGAGTCACCCTGTGAGTCTGGGATCAGAGCAGTACAGGGACCGTGCTAACTGATTCCAGATGCACAGAGTAACATGGATGGATATAAGCGTGGGAACACTGGGTGAAGTGACCTCAGGGGGATGCCAGCTGTGGATATGGAGACTCACAGCTGGCTCCGAGCCCCCCCAACTATACAGTGATGAGAAACGGCTTCACCGTCCACCTGCTGGGTCTCTCTGCAACACTGGCGGGTTTCAGCCGCCAATGATGAACGGTTCATCCACTTCCTAAAGCTGCAGGCTCACGAAACATTCCTGTTTTACTTGGCAACATGTTTTTTTTCGAGATCACTGTAGTGTTTTCACAGTGTGCGTCACCGGTGGTCCAATCTGTTAACAAAGACGTTTAATGTACAGCATTAAACGAGGGGCGTTTTCACTCATGGGCCGTTTTGAGAAAAGGGAAAGGAGGCTTTAGTTTCAGATGAAACTCTCCAGAGTTTGGGATGTTTGGTGAAGTCTAGAAGCTGCCGTTGAACTGTTTCCAGCCCAGAAATCGACTCACTGGTCCGGGTTTTTCTTTCAACGAGCTCTGATGAGTCCATCTCTCCACGGAGGAGCTAAATGATATGATTAGTAGAACATTTATTTATTTTATTGTGAAAATGTTGGAAGCATTGGAGAAATCTGACACTGAACTGTAGGAACCATGCCAGAGGTATCTACAGCAGCTTTCTACTGACTTTTAATGCAGTCAAGCTGCCTCACAGGTATCACGTGAACCTGCTAGCTGCAGCTAATAACTACTTTCATGATCGATGATTCATCCATCAGGGTTAGGGTTAACTTCAGCATTGAAACGCTTGAAATGGAAAACGTTGTATGGCCACTGAAAAATGTACCACTTCAAAATATTTAGTATTTCATTTTTTTGCATTCTGTTTTTGGATGACAAACTATTTTTTTTTATGCAATTGTTTTTAATGAAATTTATTTTTTACGCTACCCTATTTTTTTTCATCTAAAGTGAATTTTTTTGCAAACTGACCAAAAATATTGTCATTGAAAATCACAAAAATAAAATGGTTTTATGTTGTTGTAATTATAGTTTATAGGCTCCCTAACATTGTCCCTTTCTCTTCCCCGTTAGCCTACAACTACTGCTCCAACAACGGCGGCTGTTCTCACCTGTGTCTGCCGCGGCTCGGCGGCTTCACCTGCCGCTGCCCGGACGCCGATGACGGCCGATGTGTCGAGAGGAACCTGTGAGGTCTGCAGAGCGACAACAACAACACTGCTGCTGCTGCTGCTGCTGCCACGAGGGGAAAAAACACAAAACACACTTAAAACAATCTGGTGTTTTCTACATTTTCTTACTTGAATTGAACATTCCTACAATCCTCTTAGAGTGTTATGTGTTTCTGGCCGTTGAGAGCTGTTCAGACCTCACTGTATTTATGATGTCACACTGCAGGTAAGATCGTTTAACTTTTCTTCCTGTAACTGAATTCAGATTCATAGTTTCTGATCTTGTTTGTGCAGCGTGTTTGTAATCTGACTCCTGGTTTAAGTTTCTCTCCAAAATCAGAAGAAAGTGACACTAAATCTAGAATACAGGGATCTTATTAAATAGCCAGAAGGTGAACTTAAAACACATTGACCGAGCAGTTGATAATCATTTGAAAAAGTATCTAACGATGAACTTCACGTTGTGTTTTTATGTATTTTAAAAGTGAAACTCCTTATTGATTTCTTATAGATGTGTTCTGAAAGAGAACTGCGTAAAACAATCGGATATAATTCTCAAATGTTCTGCAATGATCAAAATACTTGAGAGAAAGGTTCCTAAGGGCCTTGAAATAAAAAAAAAAACAACCTTTTAAAAGGTTTAAAAACCTCAACACTCGCCTTACAAAAAGCATCAGAAGTTATTCCTGGACAGCCATCGGGAGCTTCTTCTGACAGTTTCCCAAACTTCAAATCTGAATCATAAGCAATTCTTGTTGCTGTAACGCCACATACAGACTAATCAATACAGGCAATAGGAAATGGTATGCATAAATTTAACTGCTCAACTGTATTTAAGTGTCACAGCAGTTTGACCATATTCTTTTAGTCGTGGCTCATTTGCCAGGAAAACGGTATAAAGTATCGCAAAACAAAAGCAACATTTTGGGGTTAATCCAAATATATTTTGAACCACATTTAGTAAAGACTGGATGAAATTTCTAGGAAGAAACTACAAAAATGGGTGTGGCCAGTACCGAAAGACTGATTTTAAGGGAATTCATCCAAGACTTTTTGAGCCTAAAGTTTCCGTTCAATTACAATGAACTGTTCTCCAGATTTGATCACAAATGTAGACGACGTCCTGCTAACAGCCAATTAAAGGGACTGAGATTACCTGGTGTAACTTAACGTGTACTCCATTAAAACTTCTCCTAGTTTCAACATATTAACAAGAATTGTACGCTGACTTCTCGATGAATTCTACGGGATATTGTCAGTTTTGGGTTGTTGTTTTTTTTTTTAAAGACTGCAAAAGTCTCTTATTGACAAAGATTTCCTGACTGAAAACCCAACGAAATAGCCAACTATTTAAGAAAATAGATCAGAAGCATTTTCTTCCTGTTTGTCTGTTAATCACTTTATTACACATTAATCTACAGAGGTTGATGAAGCTAAATAAGAGCCGAGTTATTGATTGTAAAATAAAACTCTGAAATTATTCTTTATTTTATCAATACTATATGTTAAAATGAGACTGTCCCCCCCAACTGTATGCTCACCATTTTGGAAGTCGGACCACAAAATATCACCACTATGATCCTGAGGCGGTGTTAAGAGTTACAATATTTGTTGTATTGTTTGTGCTACAACTCAGTGTATTTTTTTTATATGAACTTGTAAATAACTACCTGGTGTGCAGATGACATTCTCTGATGATTGTATTGGTGCTGATGTTGCCTGAGATCTACCTGATGATGATTACTGTGAAGGTTAATGCAGGTCGTGCCTAGAGAGCAAGTAGTTTGTACTTCTCATGTAACCTTCGTTTTTATAATGAAGTGACGATTCAGTTCCAGTCACTGAAGTCTGTTTTCATCTAAAATAAAATAAAGAAACAACGCAAACTGTTGTGCTTTAAAGAGTCCTCAAAGTTACCTGCCAATATTAAAATGAAAGGATTCAAACCATTCATCAGTCAAATTGTTTATCAGCAATTTCATTGTGAAAATGGCCTTAAAATGAAATGAAATGAAATCTTACTTTGATGATGCTCATTGTAGTTCACTGAATATTTGTTTTTCCTTTTGGCGGCAATTATACATTTTCAAACATGTAAATGTTTTTTGATTTGGATATCTGTCAGACTATTTCTACACAAATAGAAAATGAAATCTCAATTTGATTAAACTCGTTAATGGAGGTTCTGTTTTGAAGTGACAAAGCAAACATATCGTTGACATTTACCGTTACCGATCAGCGGATATCTATTCCTAATGCAGAATCATTGTAACATCAGGGATGAAACGGGTCAGTGTGTCCTGACCCACAGCCAAAGAGGGAACATTAACAGCCTGTACAGCCTCAATAAAACCTCTTTAAATATACACAATCAGCCTGGTGAGTTGTGTTTCCTTTAATCTCTAAGTGATGAGGAAAACTCTTCATTCTCCCTCAATCCAACATGACTTTTTAAGACATACTGTTATGGCTTTATTTCAACATATAACTAAGACTTTATTTCATGACATTTTTTGGCGTACTATGACCTAAAAGACGATGTGAAAGTGTCTTAAACGTGCATTCTCTCACATGGCCAGCAGGGGGCGACTCCTCTGGTTGCCAAAAGAAGTCTGAGGAAATGACTACTTCTCACTTGATTTGTTACCTCAGTCTTTACTTTTTTATGGCATACTTTACTATGACTTTTCTGAAATTTGATAACTTACAGTACTATGACTTTTGTGACATACTATACTATAACTCTGTGTCCCCTTATTGCCATCTAGTGTATGGCCTTAAAAGTGACCCATCTGATGGGCAGAAAGTGTTTTACTCTATGCAATGGGATTTGGATCAGATTTAAATAAATGCCAGCGATTGTTCGCCGTATCTAGAGCCATGGGGAGAGAGATCGGTTCCCAAATAAATGCATCCAACTGCCAGCTGTGTGTCAACGCTGTCCTCTGTATACTACTGAACTGAATCTGTAAACTTCAAATGCTCTGAAGGCCCCGTGCAGAAACGCTTAAATGATGTGATGTCAGCTAAGTGAACAAGTTAAATAGTATTAGCTAGTATTTTGTCTCCCTTGTTTTTAAAATCTGGGATGTGCTACTTTATCACATTATACTATACTATGACTTTTATATGACATGCTATACTATGACTGTTTTGACGTACTACTCATTTTTTTTAAACATTCTATACTGACTTTTTCATGACAGGATAGCATGTCATACAACAGTCATAGTGTAGTACTATGACATACTATACTATGAGGATTATACAGCTCTATGGGAATCCTCATACTCAAACTGTTGAGTCTAACTGATGCCATTTAAATCAATGAAAAAAGTAGACATTTGCAAATAAAGTGTTTATTTATTACATCCTTGAATTTGTTAGTGCGCGTGTACATTTCACTTTAGATGATATGGTGATTCTGAATGAAGTCCTGCAGGAAGAACAAGGAGAAAGGTTGCCATGCATGAACCTGAGAGGGGAGTTGTTTCAGGTGCGGTTACATTTTGGAAACGGATCCAGAATGAGCGTCATTGGGACGTTAATCCGTCTCTCAGTGTGTCGTCTCTGGATCTCAGTCTCGCATAGAAGCAAGTGCAGTTCAGTTCCGTCCTCAAAGTGTCTGTTCCGTGAGAACGGGGTCGCTTCCTCACCTCTGCAGGGTCAGGACCAGCGGACCAACACCTGGTCTCCGTCCTCTATGGAGTAGAACTGTAGAGTCTTCAGGTCACTGTCGATCTCAAACTCTGTCCCCAACATCTACAAAGAAAAGGATGAAAGAAAAGTCTCAGCAACAGACGCTCTGTGACCTTTACGTTTTCCGGTGCAGAATATTGAATATTCACAGACTTCAATGGTTTTCTAGGACATGAAATGAACACTGTCCCACCCACAGTTAATGGCATTAAAGTGTATGTTGTACCTTGGGGCTGGTGTAGGTGAGCTTCAGATCTGCTGCAGGAACCTTCAGAAGTCTGTAGAGGAGTCCCTTCACCTTCTGAACAACCATGGAGGCTGCGGAACAGACCACACACTGTTCAACTCAACTGGACCTTATTTCATATTTCAGTTTGATTTGGAAACATCCGCTCAGTTCATTTAAAGTGTTATACAAGCTAAGAGACTCTCTTGACTTCTATTACCTAGAACTTTCTTCTCAATCGGCTTCCGGTCCGCATGATCAGGAAACACAAACGTGATCTCTGGTGAGGAGAGACGAGGACGAGATCAGTGTTCAGTCAATATCAAATATCCTTTAGTGGTTATATCAGCCAATCAGAGAGCAGAAGAAGGCGGGACTAACTCAACAGCTGATTTTTCAGGGCAAACGGCTTCGGCTTCTTCAGCTCGCCTTCCTCTGGAGCGCCATACTCTGAAACACATGATGATCTTCATCATTATCATCATCACTTCAGGTCATAGGAGGAGAAATCTAAATAATAATGATAATAACAACAAACTTTATTTATGTAAAAGGAATTTAACAATCAGTTAATTGTGTTCTGGTAGAACAGAAGTAATGATTGTCAAAAACGAGAAATATTTCTTCACAGAGTAACTTTAAAGATATATTTAATTTTTTATTGATTTTGTCTGCGATTTTCCATCCGCTAATATTTTCCATCTTTATTTCCATTTCCATCTTTAATAAGGAAAATACACTAAAAAACATTAAGTACAGCCATAAAGTATCTGCTACCTTATTGGTCATACTGTAAATAAGCTGGGAATAATCCCAATTGAACTGTAATGTACCATAATGTAATGTGTGTTTTGTTGCTGTAGACTGATCCATGTCATGACATGCAGCATGTGAACAGTGTTGAATTTCCCAGAAACCACTGAGGGTCACGGAGGAGAAACCGTGTTTGCTGTAGTTTCCTACAGCTGCCTCTAGATGTCAGTCCAGAATCACATTCTTACTGACTGCTCCTTTAAATCATCTGCTGGGACTTACTGTCGATGAGGCTCAGGTAACGAGGGTGCTGACTGATGAACTGGGCGCTGGGCTGACTCCTCCCACCCGCCTTCAGCCACTCCACTCCAAACATCTTGATGTAGTCGAGCTCCGCCCCCCTCCTCTCTTTGCGGAGGATCTGATGGAAATCATGGCAATGGGTCAGCATGAGCACACACACACACACACACACACACACACACACACACACACACACAC